ATGGCACGGCTGGTTAAGAGGCAAGCAAAGCAACAAGTAGCACAAGAAGACATTGATGAGAAACACCTTTTGGCTTTCATTGTGAAGGACAAATATAGTAATGAGGATAAATGCAAACAAGAACTCAAGAAATATTGTGAAGAGTTGAAGGAAGCAGATGGTAAATTCAATGTTAATGATAAAGTTAAAGAACTTTGTGGTGGTGGTGATGATAAAAAACAAGAGAAAAAATGCACAGACCTGAAAGACGAAGTTAAAAAAGTATTGGGAACTTTTAAAACGGAACTTGAAAAAGCATTGCAAGAGACAAAAGATGAAAATTGTAAAAAATATGAAGAAAAATGTATACTTTTAGAAGAGACGGATCATAATGATATTAAGGAGAACTGTGTGAACTTGAGGGAGAAATGTTACAAATTGAAGCGTGAAAAGGTGGCAGTGGAGCTCCTTTTGAGGGCGCTCGGAGGGGATGCTAAAGAAGAAGCTAAATGTAAAGGAAAGATGAATACTGTTTGCCCAGTGTTAAGCCGAGAAAGCGACGAGCTGATGTTTTTCTGCCTTGATTCGGATGGAACGTGTAAAGCGCTGAAAGGGAGATTGAAGGATGTTTGCAAACCTTTAGAAACAAAATTGGAAGAGAAAGAATTAGCAGAAAAATGTTATGAAAGACTTGAGAAATGTCATTTCTACGGAGAAGCGTGTGGTAATACAAAATGTAAGGAGGATAAGACGAAATGCGAGGAAAAAGGAATCACATATAAAGCGCCGGAATCTGATTCTAGTCCTGTCAAGCCGAGGGCATCGTTGTTGATAAGTATTGGGTTGGAAGATGTTTATAAAAGAGCTGAAAAAGAAGGAATTATTATTGGAAAAGTAGGCGTGGATGTACCAAGAAGGTTTGGTGAAGATTTTCTGCAAGATCTCTTACTACTGTTGAGCGAAGATGAGGATAAGACGGATGCAACAAGTAAATGCAAAAAAGCGTTAGAAAAATGTGATAAATTTAATCACTTGGATTATAATTTTGGAGAGTTATGCAAAGATAAAGATAAACAAAAGAAATGCGAAGAATTACTAAATATAAAAGAAAGATGTACAAATCTCAAATTAAATCTTCATGTGAAAGATTTGTCTACAGAATATGAAGAAGATAAAGAATCAGAACTTTTATTGTGGAGAGAACTGCCAACATTATTTACGAAGGGAGAGTGTACAGAACTTGAGTCGGAATGTTTCTATTTAAAAAAGGCGTGTAAAAATAATGAGATTGATAAAGCATGTCAAAATGTACGAGCAGCGTGCTATAAAAAAGGACAATATAGGGTCATGAATACACTCTTTCGAGAGGGGTTGGGTGAGAACCTTGGTAGTATAAGATATTATAATAGCGATCCTGAGGGTTGCAAAAAATCTGTGGTAGAAAAGTGTACAAAACTTAAAGATAAAAAATATCTTCCACAATGTCTTTATCCTAAAGAACTATGTTATCTGCTTTCAGATGATATTTTTCTTCAATCCAAAGAGTTAGGTGTGCTTTTGGATGATCAGAGAGATTTTCCATTTGAAAAGGATTGTCTTGAGTTGAAGGAGAAGTGTGATGAACTTAAAAATCATACATATTTGAATTCAGAAAAGTGTATAACATTGAAAAGACGCTGTGAATACTTTAGAGTTTCAGAGAGATTTAGAAAAGTATTTTTAGAAAGAGAAGATGATGCATTATACGATGAGCAAAATTGTACGAAGGCATTGCATGAGAAATGTAATACTTTATATAGGAAAAGGAGGAATCCATTTGGGTTTTCATGTGCTTTGCCAGAAGAAACATGTAAATATATGGTACACCATACAAGTCAAGATTGTAGATATTTAAAAGTCAACATCAAAAATGAAGAAATTCTAGAACAAATTGGAGAAGCAAATAAAAATAAAAATGAAACAACACTCGAAGAACTCTGCACAACATGGGGCCGACATTGTCATCAACTTGTGGAGAACTGTCCAGATCAGTTGAAAAAAGAGAATGGCAATGGCAATAATCATAACTGCGAAGCACTCGATGAAAAATGCAGGGATACTTTTGAAAAGTTGAAAGCGAAGGATGAGCTAACTCATCTGTTGAAAGGAAGTTTAAGCAAAGATGATGATTGTAAAAAAAAATTAGGAGAGAGTTGTACTGAGTTGGAAAAGAATGAAGCATTCAAAACTCTGTATAGTAAATGTGATGATAAAATTGCCGAAGAACTTTGCAAAAAATTAGTTAAAAAAGTAAAAGAGAGATGTCCTACTTTAAAAACCGATCTGAATAAAGCGAAAGAGGAGTTGACAAAGATGAAAAAAGAATACGATGAGCTCAAACAGGTGGCAGAAAAATCTACAGAGGCAGCTAAGTTATTGCTATCAAAGTCTGGAAAAGCCGCAATGCCAAGTGGACAGGATAGCAATGGTTCTGCACCAGTATCCGCACCAGCAGGATCAGGGTCGCCATCATCACCAGCAGTACCACCCACACCAGGGTCACCACAAAATGGAACGACAGACGCATCAGGTAAAACGCCAAGCACAGGAGATGGAACACCAGGCACACCGGGTAGTGGAACGCCAAACTATGTAAAATTTGGACTCGTTAAAAGAGCATATGTAGATGGAGGTGTATCAGAAGTAGAAGTAAAAGCATTTGATGCAACGACGATAGCATTGGAATTGTATTTGGAATTGAAAGAGGAATGCAGCGCTTTACAACTAGATTGCGGTTTTAAAGAGGATTGTAAGGAAACTGAACCAGCTTGTAAAGAAATAGACACGTTATGCGGAGGAATAAAACCATTAGAAATTAAGCCTCATCATACAGAGACACAAAAAGAAATCTCAACCACTACGACGACCACTACGACGACCACTACCATGACCAGTACCACGACTACGACGACAACTACTACGACAACCAAACCGGGAAGTGGAGGAAAAGTAACAGAAGAGTGTACAATGATACAAACAACAGATACATGGGTGACGAGTACGTCATTGCATACGAGTACGATAACGAGTACGTCAACGGTGACGTCGACAGTGACGTTGACGTCGATGCGCAAGTGCAAGCCTACCAAATGTACTACTGATTCAAGCAAAGAGACACAGAAAGAAGAAGAAGAAGAAGTAAAACCAAATGATGGGGTGAAAATAAGAGTTCCTGATATGATTAAAATAATGTTGTTGGGAGTGATTGTTATGGGGATGATGTAA